TTTCTTAGTACATGTACTTAGCAAACCAAAATTGTAATTACACATTTCAACCTTTACAAAGAAATAGATCTATCTTTTCATAGTATTGGTGTAGGTAGATGAGTTGATTTTTATTTATAGGCTCAAAAAACCACTAGCATGCAGTCTTGTTTGTTTTATAGTGAATTGTGGATTTTTTTAGAAGACAGTGATGTAATTACTTATTGCCTTCACCAGAGTGTATTCAGTAGTTTAAAGACATGGTGGACGACGCCCAAGCAGCCTGCAGGGAAGGATAATGAGAAAGTCGTCTCGCCCACGTCCCCCAGCAAGCAGGAAGCGCCAAATGTCGCAGACAACCCTAACCTGGGTGCTGCCTATGAGAGGAGCCAAATGTTGATGGCTGCTCAGAAGTCTTCTCTTCATCCAGGTAAATGGATCTTAATCTATCTAGTTGTCGTGTATGTCTTGCCTTTGCCACTTTATTGCCACCATAACCACAGATGCTTCTTACTTTATGATGGTTTGACTTACGATATTTCAACTTTACAATGGTCTGACTTGCAATTTTTTGATTTACGATGGTGCAGTAGCAATGCACATTCAGTACTGTACATTTATTGATAGAATAAACTTATCTTCATTCATTTATTTACTTTTCAATACTTTCCTTCTTTCAACACACCGGCCGTATCCCACCGAGTATAGACAGCCTGTACTGTCTGCACAGACAGCCCATGCTGTCTGCCAGCTTAGTTCATATTTCGCGCCACTAAAGTGCTGCCATCTATAGGCCTTGCCACTTCAGTATGCCCAGACATGCCTCCGTCTCACTCACACAGCGGCCTAGCAGCAAGACACAAGGCCTCCCAGTTCTCTCTCGTGGGCATGGCCCTCCTGGGCCATGGGCACAACACAAACCTGTGTACCCACCACGACATTAACAATAAACAAAGAAGCCTCCGAAGAAGTATATCATTCACACCCAGCTACCAAATAAACCCGTTATACGAGGCGGGGCGGCCCAAAAGGAAAAACAAAAGTTTCTCCTTTTACATTTAGTAACATATACAGGAGAAGGGGTTACTAGCCCCTTGCTCCCGGCATTTTAGTCGCCTCTTACAACACGCATGGCTTACGGAGGAAGAATTCTGTTCCACTTCCCCATGGAGATAAGAGGAAATAAACAAGAACAAGAACTAGAAAGAAAATAGAAGAAAACCCAGAGAGGTGTGTATATATATGCTTGCACATGTATGTGTAGTGTGACCTAAGTGTAAGTAGAAGTAGCAAGACGTACCTGAAACCTTGCATGTTTATGAGACAGAAAAATGGACACCAGCAATCCTACCATCATGTAAAACAATTGCAGGCTTTCGTTTTACGCTCGCTTGGCAGGACGGTAGTACCTCCCTGGGCAGCTGCTGTCTACCAACCTACTACCTAGGCTTTCAGTACTTATAATTGTTTATTATTCAGTCACAGTAGTTATGCATTTACTTATTTCTCATACATTCATATACAACTTGCAATATTTTCATTTTACGACGGGTTCTTCAGAATGTAGCCCCATTGTAAGTTGAAGACCACTTGTATTAAGAACAGTAGCAAGTCTTCAAGAGGTTTATCTGTAGATGACTTTGTGGTATGTACTGCATGATTATAAGGTCACGATGGTGAGAGGCAGCGTGTGGTGTAGTCAAGCAGATGGTAATCTTGACCTTGCCTACTCTGACTTTAAGCTTATTTATCATTATTCAAATACTGTCTTGCCAGAGGATGGGTTCTGACATCACAGTAGAGATGACCCTCTGAGCTGTACTATCCTCACTCATCCTTCTGAGTCCAGGTTCTGTACTTCACATGTCCAGAACTGTAGCATCTTCACTCATCCTTCAGAGTGCAGGCACTTTACTTCCCACCTCCAGTACTCGAGTCCAGCTAACCAACTTCCCAGAACCCCTTCATAAGTGTTAACTTGTATGCCTTCATTATTTAGGCTGGAAAATGATTTTTATAATATCACTCCAACATTGCTCACGTTTTCCCAAACACAGACACACATGTACACACACACACATACACCCTCATGCACATATGCATATACACAACAGAGAGAATGACTGATCTTAAAAGTTAAAATGTGTTTATAATAAATCATACCACGGGAGGGGCTTGAACCCATGGTCAGAGAGCTGTAAAACGCATTATCCACACATCAGTCTGGAGTTTTACGACTCTGACCACAGGTTCAAGCCCCACCCGTGGTATGGTTTGTTTGCAATCGTGTCGCTACAATTTCGTAAGTGCGTATAATAATTGTTTATGTTCGGCAGCTATGCGTCTCAAGGGTTTAGAAGACGAGGAAGAGGAACCTGACAATCTGGATGACTTCCGAACCACAAGCAGAGTCATCAATGCGAAACTGGATTCTGATTTAGGTGAGTAGGGTAGTAGCAGATCACTAAAAAACAAACAACTTTGATTCTTTCTACAGTATACAAAATATAGTTTATACGTAATAAGGAAGGAGGGGTGTTAATGTTGCAGTTTAAAAACTGTAGTGTAAAGCACCCTTCTGGCAAGACAGTGATGGAGTGAATGATGGTGAATGTTTTTCTTTTTCGGGCCACCCTGCCTTGGTGGGAATCGGCCGGTGTGATAATAAATAAAAATAATAATGATACTCTTTAAGAACTCAAGATACATTACCGAGTATTTTTTTAAATGTACAAAATGTGTAGTAGCTAAGTAAGCCTACTGGCCAATACTGGACAGCTAAGATTGTGTAGTTTGTGCCACTCATAAAAACTAACTTTTTTCCAGATGAGATAAGTATGGGACTGTCGCGCCTAAAAGGCTTAGCAGTGGGTCTCGGGACGGAAATTACGGATCAGAACGAGACCATCAGCCGCATACATGAGAAGGCAGACAGGGCAGACATGACCATCGGCTCGCAAAACACACAGATAAAGAAAATCCTCAAACGATGAGGCCGGTAGAATGTAGGTTGAAAGGTGATTTTTTGCATTAATTGTATAACCTTGAATTTAAGAATGTATCATCAGCAAAAGAAATAATATTATGCTTTCATTTCAAGAAAACCCTTGTGTTATTTTTAATACCATATAGAAAAGTACAGGTGCTACTCAGTTTACAATGGAGTTACATTCCGACGAACCCATCATAAGTTGAAATATCGTAAGTCGAATATGAATATATGCTAAATAAATGTACATGTATATGTAGGTGCACAACTTATGATGGGGTTGTGTTGTGACGAACTCATCCTAAGTTGAAAATATTGCAAGTTGAATATGAATATCATATGACAAGTAAATAATGACTGTCACTTAATATGTAAACAAACACACAATTACTGTAACTAAATACTAGTACTGAAAAGTGAACGAATACACGTTATGGACTTGCCACCTTCATGTTGGGTAATTATCTTAAGTTTCATCTCCGAAGTAATTGTTTTTGCACCATCGTAAAGTTGAAATATTTTAAGTTGAACCATTGTAGGTTGACGAACGCCTGTATTGTAATTCCTACATACCGTCATTCAGAATTAGTTACTGAAACGGTGGGAATAATGCCGCTGTGACCTTGAAATACTGACCAAAAAGCTCTGTTGAATAAGTATATGTGATCGGTAATTTGTGAATGTTGATGAGCACCAGCCTGCCAGGTAACAGCCAGTCAGAATCTTGGGTCGTGTGTAACACGTGTGCAGCGGTTTGGTATCTTTAGACAAGACATTTTTTGCCTGCTCAGCAGGCTTCTACAGTCAAAATACAGAGAAGACAACAGTAGTGATGTAGATACCTACATCTCTCCTGTGTTGTTGTCTCCTGTATTTCAGCTGATGTCTGCTGAGCTGACAAAGTATCACATAAATCAATACTAAACTGTTGCTGGTGTCTTCATAAAGTTGTCAGTATCACATATCGTTAATATCATAGCATGCGTTTTGTGTCAAAAAAATTTACTTGCGATGATAAAATTGCTCAGCTATCAGAGGTCACTCCTCGTGTACTTGGTATTTAAACTGGTTTAATTGCTTGTTAGGACTTTATGCTGCAAACTAAGTCCTCTTCTCTTGCAAATCTACCATAAAAAAGGCACCAAAAATGTTCAAAAAAGCTGTTTTTGGTACATTTGATTTGTGTTGAACAGAGTATTGTTACAGTGAAACCTGCAACATGCATGTCTTCGTTATTGCCAGCAATAAATTGTTTGAATCCATGCACATGGTACAGTCACCTCTTATAAAGCCTCTCTGTACACTGATTTTTTTTTATATGTAATTGCCTGCATTTCCCATTCCTGTCCAAGTTGTTTCTCATTCTGTGTCCACCAGTGTTGATGAAGCTTTAAACCCAGTATTATTGAAGGTGCTAGAGTCTTCAGCACGATCACGTGTCTCATCACACTCGTCCTTATTTCGCTACCATTGAAGCACGTAGAGGTATCGCATTCCAAAAGGGTGCCTTGATGGCGAAGGGCTCTTGATCCAAGGAATTGGAGGTTAACCCCCCCCTCCCTTCCTCCCTTTTCTTGGATCAAACTGCATGCAGCATGCATACATGTTAGGTAGCAAAAAGGCACAATACTGTGACAGGAACAATACACAAATAACTCACACATGGGAGAGGGGAGCTTACCACGCTGTTTCATTCTGACTTGTGACTTTGTAAATGGTCCAGGTAGGACTTGAAACACCATTGTAACCTCCCCTCTCTGTGCGGGTTATTTGTGCATTACATGTTAGGGAAAGTAGTTCGTGGTTGTAACGTGTTGTAAACTAGTTTGTACGTATATCACTTTGGCTGTGACAAAGCTCCTGCCCAGATTTCCGAAATGTTTGCAGGGAATTTATTTACAGCATTAAATGCGACAACTTGCACTTGTTCTTTCTTACGCCAGTTCAGAAGATGACACGACACTCGTCATCTCGAATCCAGATTTGGTTGTCCCTGACAACACTATTAATGCTGAGATTGTAAATAACACCTACTTGTTTGTTTGTTAGATGACAACTAACACTCAGTACTAACAAGACCTGTGTAGTGCTTGGGAATTAAACTAAACATATTCACTTGAGCACTCAAACTTTCAAAATTTAAACACTGTACTTCTTGTATGTAGTATACAGATAATGTAGTTTACTTGTAATAAACACAAAAGAAATCCACTAATGTACGTATATTACACACATTGAAAGACGTGAAGAAATTCATAGGTGCTTCATATACCTTGACAGCAAACAAAAATTCAACACATTCATCACATACACCTACCATCCGACTTACGACCGAGTTCGGTTCCGAGAAACCGGTCGTAAGTCGAAATGGTCATAAGTCGAACTTTACTACTGAATATCAACAAAACATTTTTGTAATGACTTTATTTTATTGTTTTATTTTGGTATTTCATGTTTTACTTTACTTTTTATGTTGTTAGTACTGTGTTTTATACTGTAAGGTTTAGGATAAACACTGTGTACAACACAAATACTGGTTTATTTCCCAGAAATTTGGCATAAAAAACATGGTCGTAAGTCGAGTGGTCGTAAGTCGAGCAGGTCGTAAGTCGGATGGTAGGTGTATCTTTAAAAAAAAATGGTGAAAATGGGCATTTTTTCTAAAATACATTGCACATACCTCAGACATTACTCATTGTGTACTATGTAATCTATCATTACCTCGTGATACACATACATTGTGATCAACAACAGCAAGTCGCCTAAAACTCGCCATAACAGAAATTTGTTCAAATAATCACTCACGTTCAAGACAAGACACACTTCAAAAGTTTCAATTTCCTCGACCTACAAAATGCCTGCAATTCTGTGCACACTATATATACAGGACACCCAGCACCAATATTAACCTACCGTTAAAACCCTAATTGGAGAGCGGCAACAAATATTCGACACAATACAAGAAGCAAATTTCTCCTTTGATATCCCAAGTGTTCAACTCCAGCCGAGTAGAAACCTGTGCAGATAAGACTGAGAAATATGCAACTTTCTACCAATAAATTCTAAGAGCTTCCCATCTGAACTGCATCAAAAATAATTAGAAAACGCCTTGGATTTAATGTAAATTTATGTAAATATGATATAATGGTTAAATATACAGTGGACCCCCGGTTTACGATATTATTTCATTCCAGAAGTATGTTCAGGCGCCAGTACTGACCGAATTTGTTCCCATAAGGAATATTGTGAAGTAGATTAGTCCATTTCAGACCCCCAAACATACACGTACAAATGCACTTACATAAACACACTTACATAATTGGTCACATTGGGAGCTGATCGTAAACCGGGGGTCCACTGTATATATAATGTGACCTACTTATCCAGATTCCAGCCATCACTCCATATGCTTGGACTTGTCAGCGTTGCATTTGTACCAGTAACAGTTGTTACGCAGATTTGTCAGTGATGTAGTATGTAATTCTATTCATAGTAATGTTAATGTCTTGCTACAATCAAAACTAATTTTATATTTCATCTTCAGTGCATCCTGCCCTGTAGCGCTGTATGACCCTTGTGAGTTTAGTGCTTTTTTTATTTTAATAATTGTAACAGTATCCAAAACTAAGCATTAAACCCACAAAAGTCATACAGTGCTGCAGGGCTGGGTGTGCTAAAGATGAAATATGTATGAAAGTATACCTGGAGGGCATTTCAGGGGTCAATGCCCCCATGGCCCAGTCCATGATTAGGCCTCATGGTGGATTAGGACCTGATCAACCAGGTTGTTACTGCTGGCCGCACACAAACCAATGTACGAGCCATAGCCCGGCTGGTTAGGTAACGACTTTCTGTCCAGCTCCCTCTTGAAGACAGCTCCGGGTCTTGAAGACTGCCAGGGGTATGTTGGTAATCTCCCAGCCTTATTCTATTGGTAATTGGGTGAGGAGTATACAAGAGGCAGTTACTAAGGGTAGTGGGGAGCACTAGAGGGGAAAATGTAATTGAAGTTGGTCTAGTAAAGCTGTCGCTCACAAAGTCAAAGGGAATCTGCATCAGAGGTGGGGCTGTCAGCAAGGAAGTAAGATAAAATAAGGGCATTAGTGCAGTGACAACACCAGAGGCAAATTCTGCATGTCTGCTAATGGACAGGACGGCCTATGAAGCAATGGTAAACTGACAATGCAACTTGACAATTCTCACAGAGGAGCTTGAGTGTTTTTCCATGAAATACCCACGAGTGAGACTTGTGTCTCCAATATGTAGGTGGGAGATTATTAGTCTCTCAAACGTGGCCGATATTTTATTATAAGACTTATTGTTTTATATCATCATTACACTTAGTGAAAATATTTTCGGACAACTTATATTGGGGTTAATATTCAACTCCTCCCCTACTGTTTACAATGTCCACTAGTTTTAATTAGCTTTACTCTTCCAAAAATAGCATCTGTACTTTGGGGCTCAGTGTTGGAGTGTAAATTTTTTTTTACATTTCTATACAGGTCCCCCCTCAGTGCCGATTTGAGTTGTAAATTAGCTATGACGTGATGTCCCGTGTCAGTGATAGTTGGTTGTATGATATAGTATATTCGGTGAATGCAATTGATGTATTTAGCAATCATTGTTATCATGCAGAGTTGATAGCATGATTGATCTTAGTACAGCTGCCATGATCTTGCAATGCTTCTACTGTATAAAGTCAGGGACTCCTGTGTGCTGCTTCATGATACACCAAAAGGTGTATTTCTCAATATATATATGCTGAGAGTTTGCTTCAAGTCTAAATAACACAAGCTGAGGAGTTAGCATTCTCCCAGACAGAGCAGAGGTGGAGGGGTTTCCTCCAAGAGGAACAGCCAGAGGGACTCGGCCTGCATATGTAACATCTGGTGACTTGTACCAGCTTGAACCTGGCATCAACTTTTAATCACTATTGTAGGATTAAAATAAATTCATCCCGTGGTGTGAAAGGCGATGTGCAGCCTTAATGACCCTCGTGTAGCTGATAGGCTTTAAATACCATTAACAAACCTGGGTACTGTATGGCTAATGTATAATGATTGTATAATGGAGTTCTTTATGCTTACAGTTGTTCAGAGGATTTAAATTACACTAATTTGTGCATTTTTCTTATGTACTCTGTTAGTTACCTTCATCTTTGTGCATTTTGCCTTTAGACGAGTAATACGAATGTGTAATACTAGTTTGGTGACTAATTACTGAAACATTTGCCTGCTTGGCAGGCTTTGTCAGTCAGAAAAGAGGTGACTTAAGTATCGGAGATAACATTTACAGAGGAGAGGTAGATAGGTGGTCAGTCTTTCAAGGCCTTCAGGAGAGTAAATTAGAAGTGGTCAGTCTTTCTACTGTTATATCTGGTATTTAAGTCTTTGTTTCAACTGAATATGACTGCCAAGAAGGTCAAACTTCTTTTCAGTAGTGATTCATTGCCCATATATCTTAATTTACTTCTTCTCTCTTTCAACACACCGGCCGTATCCCACCGAGGTGGGGCGGCCCAAAAGGAAAAACGAAAGTTTCTCCTTTTACATTTAGTAATATATACAGGAGAAGGGGTTACTAGCTCCTTGCTCCTGGCATTTTAGTCGCCTCTTACAACACGCATGGCTTACGGAGGAAGAATTCTGTTCCACTTCCCCATGGAGGTAAGAGGAAATAAACAAGAACAAGAACTAGTAAGAAAAATGGAAGAAAGCCCAGAGGGGTGTGTATATACATGTACATATATGCTTGTACATGTATGTGTAGTGTGATCTAAGTGTAAGTAGAAGTAGCAAGACTTACCTGAAATCTTGCATGTTTATGAGACAGAAAAAAGGACACCAGCAATCCTACCATCATGTAAAACAATTACAGGTTTCCGTTTTACACTCGCTTGGCAGGACGGTAGTACCTCCCTGGGTGGCTGCTGTCTACCAACCTACTACCTAACATCTTAATTTTACTTGTTGGCGTTATATACCACCAGTGATACTCTTTCTTTTACGACGAATATTGTGGGGTCATTATGTTGAAACACCATTCCAGAAAAATGGGAGAATAGTTGACAGGCTTTGGAAATTTCTGGAATGTTTTAGAACTTGCCATCGGTTCAAACCCCAGCAGTTTATAATGTTTACAATAAATTTTTGACTTGAGGGCAAATTGTTCGTATTATTGACAATTCACAACACGAATGTTCGTATGTAGGGGAGTGTGTCTACTGAAGTACTATAATATAAAGCTTGTAAAAATATTAGTACTCTGTATGTATATTATGAGTACATTGTCCCTTGCTTGTCTTCATAATTTCCTTGTAAATTACATGTATTGATTTTTTTTTAAATCTGCCAAGATAAAAAAAATACTCTCAAATTTTCCTTGTCTGGTATCAATGATGAATCTCTCATGACTTTGGGAAAAGCTGTTAACCATTTTCTCATTTTCTTGGATTGGTGTTTTGATGTCAAATTTTCCCACCCAGCAGATTTGTCAGTTTGGTGTACAGTAGGCCTCCACATTTTGTGTGGCCAGCGACTCTTTTAACACGTCACAAATCCCTTTTCATCCTGTTTCCTAGTTTTATATTGGTGGGATATTTCCCTTCCTATGCACCCCAAGTCTTCATTGTTTACATTAGACATTGCATTGCTTCTTGATGTTACACTCGTCTCCCACCTACTACTCCAGTTACCTCATGGACACTCACCTCACCAGTACTGTTTGTCATTTCCAGTTTATTGTTCATTCCAATTCTGATATTTTCATTTATCCTCTTTGATATTTTCATTTGTCCCATTTCCGATATTTTGTTTATCCCATGTCCGATATTTTTGTTTATTCCATTTCTGGTATTTTCATCATCCTAGCTTGTGTAAATAAGAAACAGTGTTGGTTATGGCAAGTTATTGTGAAGATGTTTGTCCACAATAAAACACCATAAAAAACACAGAACAGGAAGGGTTATTAAGATTTCGTGAATCATACAATACCATAACTTGTATTGTCTTATTTACATACTTTTGGTATACTTCTGCGTCTAGTTATTAATTGTGGCATCAGAAATGTGGTCTAGTATTAGTGAAGGTGACAGAGAAGTTTAAGGATGAAATTATGTCTTGTAAAGAAATTAGATGTGATTGAGATGGTCACATTTGGAGCACATGTGATGGCAGCAGTGCGAGCCGTTGCTCTGAGAGAATCGACTATTCTTTCAATCTGAGACATTGAGAAGACCTTGTGTAGTGAGTAACCCTAACTGTGACCTGAAAATAATGGGAAAGAAGCCAATATAATAAGATTGAAAAAAAAAATCTGAGAGTGAATTAACTATGAAAATTCAGTACTTTATTTCCTTATCATTAGGTAGAAAACCCAACTGTGCTGTAACAGTCTGTTAGGAAAACAGAAAGCTGCAAAAAATGTTCATTTAAATCTGGATGATTAATAGTTTCAAAGTGTACAGTCAATTGAGAGAATACATACTTGAAGGCTCCGGTCGGTAACAACTGTCAACCTCAGCCCAAGAATCCCAGCTATCCACCTCATCCCTAGATAGCCACTGTGGCCCAGGAGAGTGATAACCCTCTCCACTGATGTCAGACTCATCATACATCAACAATCATAATTTAAGGTGAGCAGTACAATATTCCCATTGATTTTATTGGGTTATCCTAGGTTAAATCATCCTATGTTTGTACTGTATCACAGATCATTTTTAATTTTCCCAAAATGCCATTCTGCCATCAAACTCATTTTGAAATCTTTTACTTTAGCCAAATTAAGAATTTAAATAATTCATGGTTTGATTTTTTTTTTTTTCGAGGTGTCGGGAACGCAACCCAATTATTCCCATAAGTTGTTCATTCCACAAAACAGTTTCACTTATGACTCAGTTTCCAGCAGTGTATTCTGCATGAAAGGTGGTGGTCTACTGTATTTAAGGTGTAGTCTAAAAACTTTCAATTTATTGTATTTACTGTCAGCTCTTTTATAAAGCTCCTCTATATAGTTTTTTTAATTAAAGTACATCCAGCTCTGAAAGTACTTTTTCACTCACATTCGTAAGTCGCACTGTATAGAGGATCTTTATAAGAGGATTGACTGTACTGTAGTATGTATTATTTCTATAAACATTTATAATTTAGATATGTAACAATAAAGTATCTTTTACACACATACTTAATACTGCAAATCCTTAATATGTATTTAAAACTGTGCATGCACAACCTGCATGTGAGACAGATGTTAAGCAGGTTTATATCTTGCAGATCTGTGTTTGGACCAGATTTTTTCCTGTGTTAGCCTAGTCTGTTACTGGTTGCAGCATACTGGCGTCTTACGACATCAGCGCAGGTCTACCGGACTCGGTGATGATCACGAGTGTAACGCCATTTTACTGTGTAAAATTCTGAAAGGTGTAATATTGAAGATCATCTTTTCTTGCTGTTTGTCTGAAGTGTCTTGACAGGTTAAGTCTGAAGTGTCTTGACAGGTTAAGTCTGAAGTGTCTTGACAGGTTAAGTCTGAAGTGTCTTGACAGGTTAAGTCTGAAGTGTCTTGACAGGTTAAGTCTGAAGTGTCTTGACAGGTTAATGGTCTGAAGTAGTCTTGTTGACAGGTTAAGTCTGAAGTGTCTTGACAGGTTAAGTCTTAAGTGTCTTGACAGGTTAAGTCTTGAAGTGTCTCCTCCAGATATTCTTTAACATGGGAAAAAGACAGACTTTTTGACATTCAATTTTACTCTGTTGGGGGGATCTTGATCCAAGGAATTGAACTTTTCCTCCGCTTGAATCAAACATGAATGCCTCTCATTGCCCTAGTATTGTACTACCTCTACTGATTTAGTGCTTGCCATACAGGTAGAAAAGTGAAAGAAAGGGCACTATTCGTAACAATTTATTTCGAACCTCGTACTATTGACACAAAAACACACACTTTATATACGTATATGTAAGTTAAGTAGGTAATGTGCCTTTTTGCACAAGTTACAGGTAATGTGCCTTTTTGCACAAGTTACAGGTAATGTGCCTTTTTGCACAAGTTACAGGTAATGTGCCTTTTGGGACACTGATATTTATAAATTACAGGTAATGTGCCTTATTTGCACACTGATATTCATAAATTACAGGTAATGTGCCTTTTTGGTCATGTGTATATACGTATTTGTGTTACAGGTAACATGCCTTTTTTACGTTTACTTGACGTGTGTGTACACACACACACACACACACACACACGCACGCACACACGCGCAAGCATGCATACGTGTGTACATAGCTATACATTAAGCCTCTGTGCTCTGTCTGGCTCCAAGTCTTCCAACATATATAAACAACTTGTCCTGTGAAAAATGGGTGCCGACTCGTTCCTGAAGTTCATGTAACTTCACTGAACTTGGTTGAACATCCTTAATTACAGTATATGTATCAGAGATGATCATGTTACAAGTGTACCAGAGAAAATGTAATGGAAGATAAAAGTATCATGTACACTAGTGTACATATTCAGCCTATAAAAGCCTCCGTTTTAGTAGTCTTCAGTTATGAAGTACATGTATACGGTAGTGTTACTGTACCTCTAGTGATGTCAGTGAAGAGTTCTTTATCCAAGGAACTGAAGTCTCTCTCTCTTCCTTAGATCAGCCTGATTGCCTAGTTTATTGTACTTTTATCATAGTTTGTTTCTATTTACCAAACTATTGTTATTACATTCATTTATGATTTTATTATGAAGGAGGGCTAAACCCATAGGGATTATACAGCAACTGTGGAGGATGGGGATGGAAGGCATTCATAGAACTGGAGCACAGATCCAATTCCCTAGATCAACAGCCTTTCAGCATCAAGGAACCTCCATTGATGGGCATTCAGGTGTCATGCAGTACCTGGGGGAATAGAGAGCAATCAGGTTTGATCCAAGAATAGTGGGGTCAGATACAATTACTTCAGACCAGGAACCTCTCACCAGCACCTGCCTCTCAAGGGAAGTTCCTTGACACTGGTGAGGGGGCTCTTGATCTAGGGAATTGGATCTCTGCTCCAGTTCAGTGAAGTCTGAATACCTTCCACCACCCCCACATGTGCTGTATAATCCTACAGGTTTAGCGCTTCCCCGATGATTATAATCACCAGCACCCAGAACCTTCTTGAGGATGTACAAAATATAGATCCGTAATATCTTATAAACAGTACTGTACACAAATAACCCGAATATAGGAGAGAGGAGCTTAGGATGACATTTAGGTCGACTCCGACTATTTTGGTCCAAGTCGAACTGAAACGTCGTAAGCTCCTCTTTCCTATGTGCGGGTTATTTGTGTATCGTTCCAGTTACGGTGTTGTTTTTTTTTTGTTATTTAGCTGTTTACAGTACTGTATTTTTCATGAACACTGAGGTTTTTCCTCTTCAGAAAAAATTTGTGTTTAGGCTTAAGCCTGCATGAACTGCTCTACATAACCATGGGCTTTCTTCATGCATTAAAATGTCACCCATTTCTGTATAAACATTATATCATGTGGTAATAAACTATGACTTAAATCGAGGTGGACAACTGCACACTGACTCAGACATTAAGCTGGTAAAAAAAAAAGTATTGAGCTAGAGTGCTCCTCAGGGAGGCTTTTGTTGATGCTTGTGAGAGGCTGTTGAACAAAGGAACTTTTTGACTATGTTCCCCTGCCGTGACTTGAACTTGATTATTTCCCATTTCCCCAAGTGATGTATAACCCTTACAGGTTTAATGCTCCCCAGGAATGAATTCAGCCACATTGGAACTTGGAAAAATAAACACAGAAGTAGTATAATATGATCCTTTATTGACAACGTTTCGCCCACGCAGATCTGTTTGTGACTTGATAAAGCCCACTGTGTGGGCGAAACATCAATAAAGGATCACGTTATACCGCTTCTGTGTTTATTTTTCCATTGTGTCGGTATTTTATACCATTTATTTCCACAGGAAAACTTCATCATGAGTACAGTTCCATTGTGCCTAAAACCTCATACATTTCAGTTCATTACCAGCTTAACTGCCTTTGAATTACTCTTAAATCTTAGATAAAAAGCTCTTGGCAATATCTGAGGGTTATGAGAGGACTTAGCAGGTTTTCACTCATTATAAAGTACAACAGTTGCATATTAATAAGAGTACGTGGTTTATGGCGGTAAGAAGAACTTTTCCACCAGGGTCTTTCAGTTCTCTAGCAAGAGTTGACCAGGTCCTTGGTAGACCAAACATCTCGTCAAAATATAAACCTCGTACTGTCTTAAGACTTGTGGGGATATAATACCATAAGTATAAATGTTATATTTCCAATGTTTGGTCAGTGTTACAACCTTTGCGTCACATGACACTACCTTTGTGTTACAACCTTTGCGTCACATGACGCTACCTTTGTTACAACCTTTGCGTCACATGACACTACCTTTGTGTTACAACCTTTGCGTCACATTACACTACCTTTGTGTTACAACCTTTGCATCACATGACACTACCTTTGTGTTACAACCTTTGCGTCACATGACACTACCTTTGTGTTACAACCTTTGCGTCACATGACACTACCTTTGAATAAACTTAAAACTTTTAGATTTGTAATTATTGGCCACTTTGCAACACTTTTCTTCATTTCTAAATCTATTACAGTATGTATTTTGAAATGGGAAATCTCTATTTTCCAGATATTTCAATCCTGGTGGGAGTTAAATAGCACATGAGAAATTGAAGTCAATCAGATTTGATCAAAGAAAGAGTCTAGTTCCTTGGATCAAGACACAGAGCATGATTCACATAATTGGAGCTGCTGTTCCCTTCCTCAGATCAAACCTGATTACCTCTCGTTCCCCCAGGCACTGTATGACCTGTGGGGGCTTAGTGCTTCCCCTCAAATCAAGCTCGAACACTTTTGACACTTGAGAAGGCTTACTACCGCTAAATGACCCCATACGGGTTTACCACAGATTTTTATTACTTTAATAAAAAGATTTCTTAGTGGAATTATAAGCTAGTACATCAAAATATTTATTTTTTAAATGATTTTTTCTAGCCTAGTGACTTTGGCACTGTTTTGTGATTATAATGGCTTAATCTATACCTATCAAGGAAGGGCTCTTGCTCCAGGAATTGGAGGTGCCCTTGCCTTAGATCAAATCTAATTACCTCCCATTTTTCAGGCACTGTACAACCACTCATGGATAATATATTAATTAAATTATGCAAGTCGACAAGCAGCTGGATTAATTCAGATGCTTTGTTGCCCCCGTGAAGGTTCCTCAGTGCCAGCAAGCAGCTCTTGTTCCGGGGAACTGCACCTACCCTTCCCTTTCTTGGACTGAACCTGATTACCTTTTGATTCCCCAGGTGCTGTTTGGACCCTAGTGTTAGTGCTGCCCCATAAATAAATAATCTAGTCATTATATTAGTTGATGGAGAACTATGTTGACTTAATGAATGAATGGGAGTCATACATCTAAACACAAAGATTGTGTATATCTAGATTTGCAAGGGTGGTATACATCTAGATACATGAGGGTGGTATACATCTAGATACGTGAGGGTGGTATACATCTAGATACATGAGGGTGGTATACATCTAGATACGTGAGGGTGGTATACATCTAGATACATGAGGGTGGTATACATCTAGATACGTGAGGGTGGTATACATCTAGATACACAAGGGTGGCATACATCTAGATACACAAGGGTGGCATACATCTAGATACACAAGGGTGGCATACATCTAGATACACAAGAGAGGTATACACCTATATATGCGAGGGTTGTAGACATCTAGATATGCAAGGGTGGCATACGTCTCGACACACAAAAGCATACATCTTGACGTATGAGGGAGACATACATCTAGATACACATGTGGCATACATCCAGACATGAGCTTAAACATCCAGTATACACAACACATACATGCCTAACATATATACAATATATACATCTGCCTACACATCCATAAGAAGTTAAACATCCTGTGCCCTCAATGGCGCTGAAGTTGTTCATCCAAGATATTCCTTGGTGCCTAACAGGGTATACCTTGATACTACTATTAAAGGGCTTGTTATTGAAGGAATTAGACCACCCTCATATTCACTCAAAGTTGTTTATTTCCTGTTCCCTGGGATGTGTGTGACTTCCACAGAATATAATGCTTATCTCTTTTGCTATCACATATGTAATACTGTCAAAAGTACAGTGGACCCCCGGTTAACGATATTTTTTCACTCCAGAAGTATGTTCAGGTGCCAGTACTGGTCGAATTTGTTCCCATAAGAAATATTGTGAAGTAGATTAGTACATTTCAGACCCCCAAACATACACATACAAACGCACTTACATAAATATACTTACATAATTGGACGCATTCGGAGGTAATCGTTATGCGGGGGTCCACTGTAGTTTGACACAGTAGGGTGTATCAAGATAAGAATTAGACAATACTGTATCAGTTGCGTGGGTTTTGCAAGACACTTAGTTTCAGAATAGCGTTAACCAAAGAATTTTGTCTTGTATCGAGTCGTTCAGACTGAATTCCATTGGATCAAACTGAGGGTAAACTTAAATACAATTTAATGCTTCATCTAATCAAAATACGTTCAATCAAGCTGGTTTACCTTTGTGAGAAATGTGTGTGTGGGGTCGACTACTAATGCTGATGTGAGCACACTAGACGAGCATTGTATGAACCCCAGTAGGTTTAGTGCTCCCCCATGAATGCAAAACACCTTGGAACAAGAGCCCAACACTAAGATATTTCCTTATTATTAATTTTACAAAATTTCATCAATGAGTTTACACTTCCCTGTTAGTATAACATCAATGGGTTTCCATTTACCCTGATAACACAGGGTTTACCATTGTTTTCACTAAAATGTTAAATTATTTTAAAACAATCTATACCGTACCACACGCTGCGCCACATACAGTGGTACCTGGAGTTTCGTACAGCTCCCAACTCGAACAATTATGCAACCGTATTATTGTAAGTGTTAATTTACATTATTCCTTATGGGAACAAATTCGTTCGGTGACGGCACTCGAACAGCCTTCTGGAACGAATTATGGCCGAAAGTCGAGGTACCACTGTATATATGCGTCTAGAAAATGCATATGTCTATAAAATTTTATAAAAAGTTCAGAATATTTTTTGTGATACAAAAAAGTGCCTAAGATGTTGAATGTAGATCTAAGACAACGTTAAATGTCTGACAGAAATGGCATGCACGAAGGTGTTTCTCACATCCATGTTAACTCCACCTGTAATCTTTGGTATTTACTGTGAATTGTATTAAACCTGAAAGATACAAGAAAATACAGCACAGTACAGAAAATACAATGCAGTACGACAGTAAACAATGTAATGGAATAAGGGGGATAATGTTGGCAAACAAGAGAGGGTTGGACTAAGGGGCAGCGAGTTGGTTTGGTAAGATTTGTCAGGAAACAGGACAAGTGTTTCCTGATGTGGGTCTTAGTCTTATGATCAGCAGTGTGGGAGCTTTTGGTCATCTGACCAAGGCCTTCCACTGGCTTACCGGTCCACCCCTTTAAAAATTATGGTTAAGATTTTAGGCAGTGAGTGGTGGGTAATGGTGATTGTGGTAGCTAGAGATGACAGTTTTGCTGTGATTGTAACAATGATAATTCTGTAACCAATTGACCTTGTCTCTGTTTTTGAACAAGTTGACCTGACCTCCATTTAATCGAATTTGTCTCTGAATTACAAAAACTGCTAAATTATGTACAATATGATCATAGTAAACAGGTGATATAACAATATGCAAAAATAACCACTGTGAAAGAATAGTGAATTTCCTAGCGCTTTCTTGAATTCTCACGTCAAAATCACGAAAGTTCTTGGAAATTCTCTATTCTTTCACAGTGGTTATTTTGGGTCACCCGCCTTGGTGGGAGACGGCCGACGTGTTGAAAAAAAAAAAAAAATAATTTGAATAGAAATAAAATATCACAACTCAGTACACAGTGAACTCTTGTGAATATTTTTTATACAGTGACTGAACAAGTGCATCCAAAATTGAGTAACGCAAAGAATGCCTTCATGGTATTCAATTATGGATTTACGGTAATTTTTCAATCACATTTACAAAAAAAAAATGTGTAGAGGAGCTTCACAAAAGCTATATATAACATTTTTGTCAAAAAAATATTTGAAAGGAGTAATATAAACATTTTCACAAGAGTTTACAGTACCTGAAATATTTCATGTTTCATCAGTTTTGATAGTGATGATAATGTCATTAACCCTTAAACTGTCCAAACGTAGATCTACGTTCACGTGCGTAGTGCTCCGACCTTGATTTTCCCCAGTTGAATACAGTGGACCCCCGGTTAACGAACTTTTTTCATTCCAGAAGCATGTTCAGGTGCCAGTACTGACCGAATTTGTTCCCATAAGGAATATTGTGAAGTAGATTAGTCCATTTCAGACCCCCAAACATACACGTACAAACGCACTTACATAAATACACTTACATAATTGGTCGCATTTGGAGGTGATCGTTATGCGGGGGTCCACTGTACTTGTAAAAAAAAAAAGTAGATCTACGTTCGGAGCCTGCCGCACGTCAACATACGTATATCTACGTTTGGACAGTTTAAGGGTTAAGAGATGGGTGAGTTGCCCTGCCTTCTAATATGTTTATTTTTCCCCTATAATCTACCCTGTCTATAATTACTATCACATTTCCTTTGCTTTCATAAGGTAAAGTCTGGGATCTTTCCATAATTTATGGTGTAACTTAAATCTTTTGAGTACAATTGTGTTGTAGAGGTCTGAGCAAAGTTCATTATTGCACAAGGCACAGTACTCATTCCCAGTGTTGCACAAGACACAGTACTCATTCCCAGTGTTGCACAAGGCACAGTACTCATTCCCAGTGTTGCACAAGACACAGTACTCATTCCCAGTGTTGCACAAGGCACAGTACTCATTCCCAGTGTTGCACAAGGCACAGTACTCATTCCCAGTGTTGCACAAGGCACAGTACTCATTCCCAGTGTTGCACAAGGCACAGTACTCATTCCCAGTGTTGCACAAGACACAGTACTCATTCCCAGTGTTGCACAAGGCACAGTACTCATTCCCAGTGTTGCACAAGGCACAGTACTCATTCCCAGTGTTGCACAAGGCACAGTACTCATTCCTAGTGTTGCACAAGACACAGTACTCATTCCAAGTGTTGCACAAGGCACAGTACTCATTCCCAGTGTTGCACAAGACACAGTACTCATTCCCAGTGTTGCACAAGGCACAGTACTCATTCCCAGTGTTGCACAAGGCACAGTACTCATTCCCAGTGTTGCACAAGGCACAGTACTCATTCCCAGTGTTGCACAAGGCACAGTACTCATCCCCAGTGTTGCACAAGGCACAGTACTCATTCCCAGTGTTGCACAAGGCACAGTACTCATTCCCAGTGTTGCACAAGGCACAGTACTCATTCCCAGTGTTGCACAAGGCACAGTACTCATTCCCAGTGTTGCACAAGGCACAGTACTCATTCCCAGTGTTGCACAAGACACAGTACTCATTCCCAGTGTTGCACAAGGCACAGCTCAGACCTCTGCAACACAATTATCCTCGAAGATTTGTTAAGTCACACCATGAATTAAGGAAAGATCCTGGAGTTCACCTTACAAAACAGACAAAGTAAATACAATAGTAATTGTGGACAAGGTAGATTATAGTGGAAAAAATATATTAGTAAATGTGGGAACTGACATACCATTTAATGCTTCACCAGGGATGGAAGGGGGGTACCCCCAAACTGTTCAGATATTCTTACTTAAAATAACTGGAGCTACCCTCAAATTCTACCCCCCCACAACCCACCCCGAGCTACCCTCACCTATCCCCCAACCCACCCTTTGCTACCCTCACCTTCCATACCTCAGGCACTATATTACCCTCTCCTTAACTCAAGCCTGACTGCCTTCCATACCTCAGGCACTATATTACCCTCTCCTTAACTCAAGCCTGACTGCCTTCCATACCTCAGGCACTATATTACCCTCTCCTTAACTCAAGCCTGACTGCCTTCCATACCTCAGGCACTATATTACCCTCTCCTTAACTCAAGCCTGACTGCCTTCCATACCTCAGGCACTATATTACCCTCTCCTTAACTCAAGCCTGACTGCCTTCCATACCTCAGGCACTATATTACCCTCTCCTTAACTCAAGCCTGACTGTCTTCCATACCTCAGGCACTATATTACCCTCTCCTTAATCAAGCCTGACTGCCTTCCATACCTCAGGCACTATATTACCCTCCCCTTAACTCAAGCCTGACTGCCTTCCATACCTCAGGCACTATATTACCCTCTCCTTAACTCAAGCCTGACTGCCTTCCATACCTCAGGCACTATATTACCCTCTCCTTAACTCAAGCCTGACTGTCTTCCATACCTCAGGCACTATTTTTACCCTCTCCTTAACTCAAGCCTGACTGCCTTCCATACCTCAGGCACTATATTACCCTCTCCTTAACTCAAGCCTGACTGTCTTCCATACCTCAGGCACTATATTACCCTCATGGATACACTGCTTTTCCATTAATAATTTAAAACACAATTTAGTGGCCCTAATAGGGAGGCGCCGACGGGATAGATTTTTTGTTTTTACCTTGATCGTATTACCGAGTAATTTTTACAACTACTGCGCTTTGTTGCTCTTTAATCGACTATCTCATTTATTTACAAAATCCATTAAATTGTAGATTCATTGTATAATAGTAATATATGCTCTTATAATAAACGTAAAATACCACTTTGTAACTGGTCGTATCCTTAACACACAGTCTGTCTTACATTTCATAAACTACATCACACAAACATAATACACACACTGCACATTACAAAATAAGTCACAGCTTCCATGAGCATTGGATATCAAATCACAATTCCAGAAATTGGGAAAACTCTCAATACTCTAAGCCCCTCGCCCAAGTGTTCTATTTTCCCCGGCTCTTTTTTCCCAAAACAAGTGAATTCCTAGCAACCTTCAAAAGTTCTGCTGACCATGTTCCCCATTTTCTGGAGCAGTTTTTTGATATACTGGACTGGTATATTCATGATTTACACAATGTAAAACAATGAAAGACGGCTATATGACAATTACTTTTTCAGGAAATATTTATACAGTGCTGTAGATCTTACTGGACAGTTGCATGTTCAGACATGTCTGGGTTATTGTAATACAAATCAGACGTGTTATCGAGATGAAAACATTCGTGTATTAGAACATTTTCATAAGGTAAGTATGGTATTGAGAACTCAAAGATCATTCCTAAATTACAATAAGTGTCAGGGGCCCGAGACTGTTCAACTGCCTCCCAGCATACATAAGGGGGATTACCAACAGACCCCTGGCAGTCTTCAAGCTGGCACTGGACAAGCACCTAAAGTCAGTTCCTGACCAGCCGGGCTGTGGCTCGTACGTTGGTTTGCGTGCAGCCAGCAGCAACAGCCTGGTTGATCAGGCTCTGATCCACCAGGAGGCCTGGTCACAGACCGGGCCGCGGGGGCGTTGACCCCCGGAACTCTCTCCAGGTAAACTCCAGGTAACCCTTATTGGTTTAGCACTTTTCCTTGATTATAATAGTAATACAGAGCTTTATGACTAGTGGGTTTAACACTCAGTTATAACTGTTATAATAAAATAACTACTAAATTAATCTATTTTCCAAACCTAGAAGTAATTCAAATGGTACGATACACTGTTTATATGTAAGACGGTACATTTAATATGCAACAGTATACAGTGGACCCCCGCATAACGATTACCTCCAAATGTGACCAATTATGTAAGTGTATTTATGTAAGTGCATTTGTACGTGTATGTTTGGGGGTCTGAAATGGACTAATCTACTTCACAATATTTCTTATGGGAACAAATTCGGTCAGTACTGGCACCTGAACATACTTCTGGAGTGAAAAAATATCGTTAACCGGGGGTCCACTGTATATTGTATAGAGGAGGATGGTATATTTATTTGGGGATGCGCTGTATGACCCTAATGGGCTTAGCGGTTAGTTATGATTGTAATATTATCTGGGTCCATCTTACAGATAGAGGCTAATAGATGAGGTAGGCAAATAATGTTGAATAAGTACTTATGGGTATTTAGGTATACAGTGAAGCAAAACAGTATAGACTAGTATATAGTGAGGCAGACAAGTGTAGACTAATGTATAGGAAGTAAACAACAGTATGTGAGAAGTTTGCCTACACTGTACGCTTCAACAGTCAAATGTAGAGATGAATCATACTGCTGGAGACATCAGCATGGGTGGTATACCTTTGATATACCTTTGAAGAGTTTTGAGTCTGGCCATAGGCCAGGCTCATCTGGTGCTTGCCTGGCCAACCAGGCTGTTGCTTCTGGAGGCCCGCTACCCCACATATCCATCACAGCCTGGTTGATCTGGCACCTGGTGAAGATACTTGTCCAGTTTCCTCTTGAAGGCTTCTACACTTGTTCCAGCAGTGTTTCTGATATCTTCTGGTAACGTGTTGAATACACAAATAACCCGCACATAAAAGAGAGAAGCTTACGACGACGTTTCAGTCCGACTTGGACTGACTTGGACGTGTGACTTTGTCAATGGTCCAAGTCGGACCGAAACATTGTCGTAAGCTTCTCTCTTTTATGTGCGGGTTATTTGTGTATCGTTCCAGTCACGGTATTGTGCCTTTTTGTTATTTATTTAACGTGTTGAATAGTCTGGGACCCCAGATGTTGATACAGTGTTCCCTTATCGGAGAGGTGGTTTGAGATAATCTCTCCCTTAGCCTTACTACAAGATGATGAATCTCTTAGTATAAAACAGAAGTCAAGTGAAAGTCATGACAAACACTTGTTAGTGGTATTCATGAAGACATCGCTTGACACTAGTCTGACACAGTGATGTTGTCTTCGTGCAAGGTGGTCTTCAGTGTTTATCGTAACTTGCCTCTACAAGTGGACTCGACTCACCAGTGGCATTAACCAAGCTGCTATACTTCACCTTCCAGTATACAGACCTCAGACCATGTGCTTCTGCTGTACACTGAGAGACTGATCATCTTGCACTAGGACTGACGGATATATTACCTCAGACTACCTCTCTATCTGTCTTCCACCAACACTGATGTCTCCAGTGGTGTGATTAATCTCTGCATTTGACTGTTGAGACTTGCACTGCAGATGAAACATTCCATCAATAATCCTAGTGTTACCCCTGTCTTATTCATCAGCTTGTCAGTACAACCTCTCAACCTCTCACTTAGCGACATACTCATTTACCGACAACTCGGACTTACAACGGGCTCTCAGAAATGTTATAAATGGTGCAGAGGTGACATTAAAACGATATCAAAGATGGTTGATACAAACCCACTACCATTATGGCGTGCTCCTCAGTTAACAACGAATTCATTTAATGACGAAGTCTTAGGAACGGAACTCTGTCGTTAAGTGAGGAGAGGCTGTATTGTATAACATTTATAATAAAGAACATTATATTGTCAAGTACCTGACAGTTCCACTGACTAAATGTCAAACAGCTAACCGATATTTTATGACATTTACAGTTTCGGCCCCTCAAGGAAGGTTCCTTGATGTTGGTGAGGGGCTCTTGATTTAGGGAATTGGATCTGTGCTCCAGTTCCCCGAATTAAGCCTGAATGCCTTCCACATCCCCCCCAGGCGCTGTATAATCCTCCGGGTTTAGCGCTTCCCCCTTGATTATAATAATAATACAGTTTCGGCACATTTTTGTGAAAGAAATATTAGTTTGTATTTGTTACGATGATAAAAACACTTCCCTAGAATTTCATAGAAAAGAAATATAAAACTTTTCAATAAGTCTGAGATTGTACTCAACAATGATAAAACAGTTGACTAGAACTATATATAAAATATAAACCTTGTAATAAATTCTTTGTACTCAACAACGATAAAACAGATGACTAGTAATGAATGTAAAACAAATTAAGTCATTTCAACAAGTACCTTGTACTCAATTACAGTGGCAGCACTAAGGGGGGTTGGGGAGCTCCAACCCCCAAAATATAAATAGTAATAATTTTACCGTTTCAAAACAAGTTGCTGGTCCACCTTCCAGACACGTCCACCACTGGGCTACCCCAGGAAATAGTTTGTTATTGCCGCTGCTTAATAACTACGTATATGTATACTGTGTCCTGTGTGTGTGTATATGTATGCATATATATACTGTACATGTATGATTCCTTTTAACCTAGTAGGTTGGTGGGCAGTAACTGCCCCGGGAGGTACTACTGTCCTGTGGTAGTAGGTTGGTAGACAGCAACCACCCAGGGAGGTACTACTGTCCTGTGGTAGGTTGGTAGACAGCAAAAACCCAGGGAGGTACTACTGTCCTGTGGTAGGTTTGTAGACAGCAAAAACCCAGGGAGGTACTACCATCCTGTGGTAGTAGGTTGGTAGACAGCAGCCACCCAGGGAGATACTACTATCCTGCCAGTGAGTGTAAAACAGAAACCTGTAATTATTTTACATGATGATAGGATTGCTGGTGTCTTTTTTCTGTCTCATAAACATGCAAGATTTCAGGTACATCTTGCTACTTGTACTTAGGTCATGCTACACATGCATGTACAAGTAGATATATACACACCCCTCTGGGTTTTCTTCTATTTTCTTACTAGTTCTTGTTCTTGTTTATTTCCTCTTATCTCCATGGGGAAGTGGAACAGAATTCTTCCTCCGTAAGCCATGCGTGTTGTAAGAGGCGACTAAAATGCCGGGAGCAAGGGGCTAGTAACCCTTTCTCCTGTATATATTAATAAATTTAAAAGGAGAAACTTCTGCGTTAACTTTTGGGCCACCCCGCCTAGGTGCGATGCAACCAGTTTGCTGAAAGATTTATTTTAATCTGAAATGTCTCCCTGGGTGAAGGGCTCTTGGTCCAAGTAATAGAGGGCTTCCTTCAGATCAAGTTGAATTACCTGTAATACCCTAGGTAACACATGACCCCTGTGGGTTAAAGGGTTCCCATGGAATGATAAAATTAACACACGAGCCCCACCCTTTCGAAGGAGTGATACTGAAGGGCTCTTAATCAAAGGAACTGCAGGTACCATCACCTTCATTGGATCGAACCTGATTACCTCCCATTCTCCAGCTGTCATATGATGTAAACATATGGGTTTAGCACATCACAGTCACTGTGTCTGCAATAATTTTTACCTAGTATTCAAACAGTGGTCCTTAATAATGATCCAGGACTGACCGAAATGTCTTGATTATGGCCCACGATGGATCAAAATGTCTTGATTATGGCCCACAATAGACCAAAATATTTTATGGTCCATAATGGACCAAAATGTCTTAGACATCGTTCAGAATGGATCAAATCATCATTGAAACATTCATCCACAAATGTGGGTTTTTTGCAAATAGTGTTCGACGAGGATAAACTTGATGCATTTGCAAGGAGGATTCGATTCTTAACACGAATCATGGATCGGAAATCACTCGGATGGATTCATGAACGATGAGGCTGCAAGATGGTGGCGGTCCTGCAATGGGATAAGACAATACATTTTACATATATGTTAATGTTGCAGTTTAAAAACTGTAGTGTAAAGCACCCTTCTGGCAAGACAGTGATGGAGTGAATGATGGTGAAAGTTTTTCTTTTTCGGGCCACCCTGCCTTGGTGGGAATCGGCCGGTGTGATAATAAAAAAATAAAAAAAATAATATAATATATATATACAGTGGACCCCTGCATAACGATCAGCTCCCAACTCAACCAATTATATAAGTGTTTTTTGTAAGTGCTTTTGTAGGTGTATTTTTAGGGGTCTGAAACGGACTAAACTAATTCACAATATTTCTTATGGGAACAAATTCAGTCTATAATGGCACCCAAACAGACTTCTGGATTGAAATAATATCGTTATGCAGGGGTCCACTGTGTGTGTAATATATTATATATATATATATAATATAAATATATATATATAATATATATATATATATATATATATAATATATATATATATATAATATATATATATATATATATATATATATATAATTATATATATATGTATATATATGCTTAAATGTGCGTGGATGTAGTGCGGATGACAAGAAACAGATGATTGCTGATGTTATGAATGAAAAGAAGTTGGATGTCCTGGACCTAAGTAAAACAAAGCTGAAGGGGGTAGGAGAGTTTCAGTGGGGGAAATAAATGGGATTAAATCTGGAGTATCTGAGAGAGTTAGAGCCAAAGGAAGGGGTAGCAGTAATGTTGAAGGATCAGTTATGGAAGGAGAAAAGAGAATATGAATGTGTAAATTCAAGAATTATGTGGATTAAAGTAAAGGTTGGATGCGAGAAGTGGGTCATAATAAGCGTGTAATGCACCTGGAGAAGAGAGGAATGCAGAGGAGAGAGAGAGATTTTGGGAGATGTTAAGTGAATGTATAGGAGCCTTTGAACCAAGTGAGAGAGTAATTGTGGTAGGGGACTTGAATGCTAAAGTAGGAGAAACTTTTAGAGAGGGTGTGGTAAGTAAGTTTGGGGTGCCAGGTGTAAATGATAATGGGAGCCCTTTGATTGAACTTTGTATTGAAAGGGGGTTTTAGTTATAGGTAATTTACAATTTTAAGAAAAAGGGGAAATAAGTATACAGATATGATGTAGGGCGAAATGACAGTAGTTTTTGGATTATGTATGGTAGATAAAAGACTGTTGAGTAGACTTCAGGATGTACATGTTTTAGGGGGGCCACAGATATATCAGATCACTTTCTAGTTGTAGCTACACTGAGAGTAAAAGGTAGATGGGTACAAGGAGAATAGAAGCATCAGGGAAAGGAGGTGAAGGTTTATAAACTAAAAGAGGAGGCAGTTAGGTAAGATATAACACTATGGAGGATAGATGGGCTAATGAGAGCATAGGCAATGGGGTCGAAGAGGTATGGGGTAGGTTTAAAAATGTAGTGTTAGAGTGTTCAGCAGAAGTTTGTGGTTACAGGAAAGTGGGTACGGGAGGGAAGAGGAGCGATTGGTGGAATGATGTAAAGAGAGTAGTAGTAAGGGAGAAAAAGTTAGCATATGAGAAGTTTTTACAAAGTAGAAGTGATGCAAGAAGGGAAGAGTATATGGAAAAGAGAGAGGTTAAGAGAGTGGTGAAGCAATGTAAAAAGAGAGCAAATGAGAGTGGGTGAGATGTTATCAACAAATTTTGTTGAAAATAAGAAAAAGTTTTGGAGTGAGATTAACAAGTTAAGAAAGCCTAGAGAACAAATGGATTTGTCAGTTAAAAATAGGAGAGGAGAGTTATTAAATGGAGAGTTAGAGGTATTGGGAAGATGAAGGGAATATTTTGAGGAATTGTTAAATGTTGATGAAGATAGGGAAGCTGTGATTCGTGTATAGGACAAGGAGGAACAACATCTTGTAGGAGTGAGGAAGAGCCAGTTGTGAGTGTGGGGGAAGTTCGTGAGGCAGTAGGTAAAATGAAAGGGGGTAAGGCAGCCGGGATTGATGGGATAAAGATAGAAATGTTAAAAGCAGGTGGGGATAATAGTTTTGGAGTTGGTTGGTGCAATTATTTAATAAATGTATGGAAGAGGGTAAGGTACCTAGGGATTGGCAGAGAGCATGCATAGTTCCTTTGTATAAAGGCAAAGGGGATAAAAGAGAGTGCAAAAATTATAGGGGGATAAGTCTGCTGAGTATACCTGGTAAAGTGTATGGTAGAGTTATTATTGAAAGAATTAAGAGTAAGAACGGAGAATAGGATAGCAGATGAACAAGGAGCTTTAGGAAAGGTAGGGGGTGTGTGGACCAGGTGTTTACAGTGAAACATATAAGTGAACAGTATTTAGATAAGGCTAAAGAGGTCTTTGTGGCATTATGGATTTGGAAAAGGCGTATGACAGGGTGGATAGGGGGGCAATGTGGCAGATGTTGCAAGTGTATGGTGTAGGAGGTAGGTTACTGAAAGCAGTGAAGAGTTTTTACGAGGATAGTGAGGCTCAAGTTAGAGTATGTAGGAAAGAGGAAAATTATTTCCCAGTAAAAGTAGGCCTTAGACAAGGATGTGTGATGTCACCGTGGTTGTTTAATATATTTATAGATGGGGTTGCAAGAGAAGTAAATGCGAGGGTCTTGGCAAGAGGCGTGGAGTTAAAAGATAAAGAATCACACACAAAGTGGGAGTTGTCACAGCTGCTCTTTGCTGATGACACTGTGCTCTTGGGAGATTCTGAAGAGAAGTTGCAGAGATTGGTGGATGAATTTGGTAGGGTGTGCAAAAGAAGAAAATTAAAGGTGAATACAGGAAAGAGTAAGGTTATGAGGATAAAAAGATTAGGTGATGAAAGATTGAATATCAGATTGGAGGGAGAGAGTATGGAGGAGGTGAATGTATTCAGATATCTGGGAGTGGACGTGTCAGCGGATGGGTCTATGAAAGATGAGGCGAATCATAGAATTGATGAGGGGAAAAGAGCGAGTGGTGCACTTAGGAGTCTGTGGAGACAAAGAGGGGAATGTATGAGAGTATAGTTTTACCAACACTCTTATATGGGTGTGAAGCATGGGTGATAAATGTTGCAGCAGCGAGGAGAAGGCTGGAGGCAGTGGAGATGTCATGTCTGAGGGCAATGTGTGGTGTGAATATAATGCAGAGAATTCATAGTTTGGAAGTTAGGAGGAGGTGCGGGATTACCAAAACTGTTGTCCAGAGGGCTGAGGAAGGGTTGTTGAGGTGGTTCGGACATGTAGAGAGAATGGAGCGAAACAGAATGACTTCAAGAGTGTATCAGTCTGTAGTGGAAGGAAGGCGGGTAGGGTCGGCCTAGGAAAGGTTGGAGAGAGGGAGTAAAGGAGGTTTTGTGTGCGAGGGGCTTGGACTTCCAGCAGGTATGCGTGAGCGTTTTTGATAGGAGTGAATGGAGACAAATGGTTTTTAACCCTTTGAGGGTTTTCGTCGTACTAGTACGTTTTACGCGTAGGGGTTTTTGACGTACTAGTACTCATAAATTCTAGCGGCCTAAAAATCTAGTGGGGAGAAAGCTGGTAGGCCTCATATGAAAGAATGGGTCTATGTGGTCAGTGTGCACAGTCTAAAAAAAATCCTGCAGCACACAGTGCATAATGAGAAAAAAAAAACTTTGACCATTTTTTTTTTAATAAATCAGCGACTTTGCAGTGTATTTTCGTATGGTATTTATTGTTGTATTCTAGTTTTCTTGGTCTCATTTTATAGAAATGACGACATATTACAGAAATTGAGATGATTTTGACTGGTTTTACAAAGAAAGGTGCCTTGAAATTGAGCTCAAAGTAGCAGAAATGTTCGATTTTTACCAAACTTCAAAAGTAAACAAATCGTGCCAAGCATGCAATACACGTCAACTGGTGAGTCTAATATTCTTTCACAAGGGCACCAATAATATTTATACCATTTTTTACACTAATGCAGTAGTCTGCATAACAGTAAATCTTATATTTTTTGTGAAAATAAAAATTCAAAGTGGAAAGCAAAAGAATATAAGAGGGACTTGAGACATGACTAATGACTAGAGGAAATGTCATTTTAGTGCCAGGAATGTCTTTCTTGTTTATTCTGGACCCTATTCCGAAATTGGCATCTTTTGAAATTTGTGTGAAATTGGCAAAATTGCTAAATTCGACCACTGTACTGGATAGTTGAATTTCATAAATGAGTGGTTTCTTGCATCCATTCGATAGAAAAAATGGAGTTCTAGCGAAATATTCATGTTTTTTGTCGACTAGTACAGTGAAATTGGCCGAAAATGGGGCTCAAAGTGGGCAAAATCGCCGATGCGTAAACATCGCCGAGACCGCTAACTTTGCGAGAGTATAATTCCGTAAGTTTTCTATCAAATTTCAAACTTTTGGTGTCTTTATGATCGGGAAAAGATTCTCTATCTTTTCATAAGAGAAAATAATTTTTTTTTTTTTTTTAAATTTGGCCGACCCTGAGAACGAGTTTCGGAGAGGGCCTGTCGACCCTCAAAGGGTTAATACTTGACGTGCTGTTGGAGTGTGAGCAAAGTAACATTTATGAAGGGGTTCAGGGAAACCGGCAGGCCGGACTTGAGTCCTGGAGATGGGAAGTACAGTGCCTGCACTCTGAAGGAGGGGTGTTAATGTTGCAGTTTAAAAACTGTAGTGTAAAGCACCCTTCTGGCAAGACAGTGATGGAATGAATGATGGTGAAAGTTTTTCTTTTTCGGGCCAACCTGCCTTGGTGGGAATCGGCCAGTGTGATAAAAAATCATTTTTTTTTTTTTTTTTATTTTTTTTTTATCACACTGGCCGATTCCCACCAAGGCAGGGTGGCCCAAAAAAGAAAAACTTTCACCATCATTCACTCCATCACTGTCTTGCCAGAAGGGTGCTTTACACTACAGTTTTTAAACTGCAACACACACACATACATACTGTGTGTGTGGTGCCGAATAGGTAAAACTAGCGATTTTGGCTTAAACAGCCAAATAAGGCAAGTGAAATTTTGTGTATGCAATAATTTTGCAAAAATCATTATAAACCTAATGAACAAATATTCATTGTGTTTAGTATTAAATTATTGTACACTTATCTAAAATATATTTAGTTGGATTAGGCTAAATTAAACTGCGTTTGTTATAATAAAGTTAGGTAAGTTTCCTAAGGTTCTTTTGGTACAAAAATTACACTAATTATTTATACATTTACATAAATGAAAAAAAATGTATCTTTAAATGTGTAAGAGAAAATTTTGGAAAGGACTTAATTTTAAGTGAGTTCTTGCTAATACTACTACCGTTATACTACTACCGCTGCCTCTTGTAGCGGCTCCTGCTGCTACTGCAACAAGTGGAACTACAGCTACAACAACAACAAGCATAGCTACAAGTAGTATTAGCATCACTAACCTGTGCTAGCCTTCAGAAAGAGGCGGGGTAACCCAGCCATACTTTTCGTGAGTTTTAACCAGCGATCTGAACGCTGACTCTGCTGACCTCTTGTTAAATTCCTTAGGTGCCTTGTGTTTACGTGATATCCTGCCCTGTGGGACAATTATTAAACCATGAATTATGTGATATTCTACCCTCTTGAAAGATTATTCATTAAACCATATACAGTACAGTATGTGTGTCGTGCCGAATAGGTAAAACTTGTGATTTTGGCTTAAATATCAACGCTTTTCTTGCTGACTAAGGCAAGCAAAAATTTGTGTATGCAATAATTTCGCAGAAATCTGAGCCTATCGAAAAAATGTACACCTACCATCTGACTTACGACCACTCGACTTACGACCGTGTTTTTTATGCCAAATTTCTGGGAAATAAACCAGTATTTGTGTTGTACACAGTGTTTATCCTAAACCTTACAGTATAAAATACAGTACTAACAACATAAAAAGTAAAGTAAAACATGAAATACCAAAATAAAACAATAAAATAAAGTCATTACAAAAATGTTTTGTTGATATTCAGTAGTAAAGTTCGACTTACGACCATTTCGACTTACAACCAGTTTCTCAGAACCGAACTCGGTCGTAAGTCGGATGGTAGGTGTATTTCATTGCATTTGTTTATTGTAAACTCGTCTAAAATATATTTAGTTGGATTGGGCTAAATTAAATTGTGCTTGTTATAATAAGGTTATTAGTGCTTCTTTTTTATTATAATAATAATATAATAAGGTTAGGTAAGTTTCCTAAGGTTCATTTGGTACAAAATCATTAATTTTTATATCAACATAAAAAAATATATCTTGAAACGTATAAGAGAAAATTTTAGAAATGACTTAATTTTAAATGAGTTCTTGCTAATTAACCAATTTTACTTATTCGGCACGACATTATATACGTATATACAGCCTCTCCTCACTTAACCCTTAAACTGTCCAAACATAGATCTACGTTCGCTCGCATGGCATTTTGGACGTAGAACTACGCTTTTTATTTTTACATAAGAAAGCGCGTAAAATCGAACATAAATCTATGTTCAGAGCGCTACGCTAACAGTTTAAGGGTTACATTTGGACAGTTTAAGGGTTAACAACGGAGTTCCGTTCCCAAGACCATGTTGGTAAACAAATTCGTCACTAAGCGAGGATCATACTATAATGGTAGTGGGTTTGTGTCGACCATCTTTGATATTGTTTTAATGTCACTTTTGTACCATTTATAACATTTCTGGTATATTTTTAAATGTTTATCAAGTAGTGTATTGTATATAATAAACAGAATAGAGGAAATCAGCTCTAATATACATTTAGGTATGTATACTGGTCAGAGAGCCCATCTTAAGTCTGAGTCATCGGTAAACGAGTACGTCGCTAAGTGAGGAGAGGCTGTATATATACAGTGGACCCTCGCCTAACGAACGCATTGCATACATTAAATTCGCCTAACGATACATTTTAACGCAACTTTTGCCTCGGCTAACTCTAAAAAACTCGCCTAGCGATATTCGTTCTCAAGTACCAATTAATATCGTTAGGTGAGGGTCCACTGTATATGTATTGTTAGCAATATACATGCAAGAGTTGTCCATGTATTATTCAGTAATTATGAATATTTTAGAGGATATATTGTATGTGTAAGAGGAAGGAAGGTTAATTATGTAGCACTGACCTGCCCCTTGACCAGGCTGGCTGCGAACTGCATGATGACAGCTTCTATAGTGTAAGCCGAGGCCCAGCCTCGCGGGGTTAGTAATTCCATGCAGATAGCTCCACCCTCCATCACGAACCCCTGGTGGAGGTAGGCTGAGTTAATGTGAGGGTGTGTAGTGGCAGGGAGAGTTAATGTGAGGGAGTGTATTGGCAAGGAGAGTTAATGTGAGGAAGTGTATTGGCAGGGAGAGTAAGTGGGAGACAACACTGAGGGAGAATAGGATTGAAGTGACATATCCTACTTCCTTTATCTAGTCTGACAGACATTCTCAGGAAGGTAGGAGAGAGAGAGAGAGGGGGGAGGGAGGGGGAAGAGGGAGAGGTAGGTGTGGGTGGCTTTACTGTTATGCACAAGGTCAATATTTTCAAGGTACCACACTTGGCTCCTCTCCAAGGACAGCTTCTACACAAAAATAAGTGTCAGGGGCCCGAGATTGTTCAACTACCTCCCAGCATACATAAGGGGGATTACCAATAGACCCCTGGCTGTCTTCAAGAAGGCCCTTGGCTGTCTTCAAGAAGGCCCTTGGCTGTCTTCAAGAAGGCCCCTGGCTGTCTTCAAAAAGGCCCCTGGCTGTCTTCAAGAAGGCCCCTGGCTGTCTTCAAGAAGGCTCCTGGCTGTCTTCAAGAAGGCCCCTGGCTGTCTTCAAGAAGGCCCCTGGCTGTCTTCACGAAGGCCCCTGGCTGTCTTCAAGAAGGCCCCTGGCTGTCTTCAAGAAGGCCCCTGGCTGTCTTCAAGAAGGCCCCTGGCTGTCTTCAAGAAGGCCCCTGGCTGTCTTCAAGAAGGCCCCTGGCTGTCTTCAAAAAGGCCCCTGGCTGTCTTCAAAAAGGCCCCTGGCTGTCTTCAAGAAAGCCCTGGACAGGCACCTAAAGTCAGTACCTGAGCAGCCGGGCTGTGGTTCCTACGTCAGTTTGTGTGCTGCCAGCAGTAACAGCCTGGTTAATCAGACCCTGATCCACCACGAGGCCTGGTCTCAGACCAGGCAGCAGGGGCGTTGGCCTCCAAAACCCTCTCCAGGTATACTCCAGGTAACAAGACAGGCACCCAACATCAACTACACACTGTATCCTTCTCCAGAACATCACTTCATCTGGAGTTTACCTGGAGAGAGTTCCGGGGGTCAACGCCCCCACGGCCCGGTCTGTGACCAGGCCTCCTGGTGGATCAGAGCCTGATCAACCATCTGTCTTTATTTCCAGGATGACTCCAGTCTGGAACATGTTTATACAGCATAATGGCATCAACAAAATAGTTGACTAAATACAATCACTGGCCCACATATGGGTCCAACCTTATCCTGTTCTCCATCTGTATACGTCTTAATAAGGCTTTCAAATGAGCTGATGTTGGTAAGAGGTCTTAGATTGTAAATAATATTGGTAACCCTAAACCTAACCTTGTCAACCCTGTGTGAAACAAAAGAACAGAGAGAGAAGCTGCCCCCCATTCTCCAGTCTGGGAGGCAACACTACCAGGAAGGTACCCCTCAAGGAAGGTTCCTTGATGTTGGTGAGGGGCTCTTGATTTAGGGAATTGGATCTGTGCTCCAGTTCCCCGAATTAAGCCTGAATGCCTTCCACATCCCCCCCCCCAGGCGCTGTATAATCCTCCGGGTTTAGCGCTTCCCCCTTGATTATAATAATAATACCAGGAAGGTAGGATAAGAGAGAGAGAGAAGCTACCCACCTTCTCTAGTCTGGGAGACAACACTACCAGGAAGGTAGGATAAGAGAGAGAGAGAGAGAGAGAAGCTACCCACCTTCTCCAGTCTGGGAGACAACACTACCAGGAAGGTAGGATAAGAGAGAGAGAGAGAGAGAGAGAGAGAGAGAAGCTACCCACCTTCTCCAGTCTGGGAGACAACACTACCAGGAAGGTAGGATAAGAGAGAGAGAGAGAGAAGCTACCCACCTTCTCCAGTCTGGGAGGCAACACTACCAGGAAGGTAGGATAAGAGAGAGAGAGAGAGAGAGAGAGAGAGAGAAGCTACCCACCTTCTCCAGTCTGGGAGACAACACTACCAGGAAGGTAGGATAAGAGAGAGAGAGAGAGAGAGAAGCTACCCACCTTCTCCAGTCTGGGAGACAACACTACCAGGAAGGTAGGATAAGAGAGAGAGAGAGAAGCTACCCACCTTCTCCAGTCTGGGAGACAACACTACCAGGAAGGTAGGATAAGAGAGAGAGAGAGAGAGAAGCTACCCACCTTCTCCAGTCTGGGAGACAACACTACCAGGAAGGTAGGATAAGAGAGAGAGAGAGAGAGAGAAGCTACCCACCTTCTTCCAGTCTGGGAGACAACACTACCAGGAAGGTAGGATAAGAGAGAGAGAGAGAGAGAGAAGCTGCCCACCTTCTCCAGTCTGGGAGACAACACTACCAGGAAGGTAGGATAAGAGAGAGAGAGAGAGAGAGAAGCTACCCACCTTCTCCAGTCTGGGAGACAACACTACCAGGAAGGTAGGATAAGAGAGAGAGAAGAGAGAGAAGCTGCCCACCTTCTCCAGTCTGGAGACAACACTACCAGGAAGGTAGGATAAGAGAGAGAGAGAGAGAGAGAAGCTACCCACCTTCTCCAGTCTGGGAGACAACACTACCAGAAGGTAGGATAAGAGAGAGAGAGAGAGAGAGAAGCTACCCACCTTCTCCAGTCTGGAGACAACACTACCAGGAAGGTAGGATAAGAGAGAGAGAGAGAGGAGAGAGAGAGAGAGAGAAGCTACCCACCTTCTCCAGTCTGGGACCCCTCAAGGAAGGTTCCTTGATGTTGGTGAGGGGCTCTTGATTTAGGGAATTGGATCTGTGCTCCAGTTCCCCGAAATAAGCCTGAATGCCTTCCACATCCCCCCCCCCAGGCGCTGTATAATCCTCCGGGTTTAGCGCTTCCCCCTTGATTATAATAATAATAATAATAATCCAGTCTGGGAGGCAACACTACCAGGAAGGTAGGATAAGAGAGAGAGAGAGGAGAAGAGAGAGAGAGAGAGAGAGAGAGAGAGAGAGAAGCTACCCACCTTCTCCAGTCTGGGGAGACAACACTACCAGGAAGGTAGGATAAGAGAGAGAGAGAGAGAGAGAGAGAGAGAGAGAGAGAGAGAGAGAGAGAAGCTACCCACCTTCTCCAGTCGGGGAGACAACACTACCAGGAAGGTGGGATAAGAGAAGAGAGAGAGAGAGAGAGAGAGAGAGAGAGAGAGAGAGAGAGAGAAGCTACCCACCTTCTCCAGTCTGGGAGACAACACTACCAGGAAGGTAGGATAAGAGAGAGAGAGAGAGAGAGAGAGAGAGAGAGAGAAGAGAGAGAGAGAAGCTACCCACCTTCTCCAGTCTGGGAGACAACACTACCAGGAAGGTAGGATAAGAGAGAGAGAGAGAAGCTACCCACCTTCTCCAGTCTGGGAGACAACACTACCAGGAAGGTAGGATAAGAGAGAGAGAAGAGAGAGAAGCTACCCACCTTCTCCAGTCTGGGAGACAACACTACCAGGAAGGTAGGATAAGAGAGAGAGAGAGAGAAGCTACCCACCTTCTCCAGTCTGGGAGGCAACACTACCAGGAAGGTAGGATAAGAGAGAGAGAGAGAGAGAGAGAGAGAGAGAGGAGAGAGAGAGAGAGAGAAGCTACCCACCTTCTCCAGTCTGGGAGGCAACACTACCAGGAAGGTAGGATAAGAGAGAAGAGAGAGAAGCTACCCACCTTCTCCAGTCTGGGAGACAACACTACCAGGAAGGTAGGATAAGAGAGAGAGAGAGAGAAGCTACCCACCTTCTCCAGTCTGGGAGGCAACACTACCAGGAAGGTAGGATAAGAGAGAGAGAGAGAGAAGCTACCCACCTTCTCCAGTCTGGGAGACAACACTACCAGGAAGGTAGGATAAGAGAGAGAGAGAAGCTACCCACCTTCTCCAGTCTGGGAGGCAACACTACCAGGAAGGTAGGATAAAGAGAGAGAGAGAAGCTACCCACCTTCTCCAGTCTGGGAGACAACACTCTGAGAAAGGGAGGATGGAAGGGGAAGTTCTCAGGGAAGCTGAGAGATAACAAGATGTGATGGACGTTCATCTCCTGCATGTCTCGGTGAAGTTCAGAATCCGGGTCCACACGAAGCAGCTTAACCTGTACGTAAAGAAAAGAAAAAAACGTCACTCGCTAGACTTAATATCGAGGCCTGGTCTCAGACCGGTCCGCGGGGGCGCTGACCCCTGGAGTACCCTCCATGTATACTCCAGGTATGTATATAGGGTACAAGAAGGCACAGGTGAGTCACAGGGATGTTAGGAAGTACTTCTTCAGCCTCAGAGTTGTTAGGAAGTGGAAGAGGTGGGATTCATACACAGCTTTATGAAGAGGGAATAAAAGCGAACACAGTAACGTCCAGGAGCCGTAACTCGACACCCGTATACACAATTAGGCTCGTACATCTCGGTGTTTACACTCTGCTAAACTCGTAGGGAGCCGTGCAGCATCTAGAGGGGATGGGGAAATCTGATGAGGTTCGACCCGAGGAATGGGAGATCAACTCCAATTCCTTGAATCAAGACGTGGGATGAGCCAGCCAAGTGACGCGGATGCTGTCTTTATGTTGCTATGGTAACATCTGGGTGGTAGTTCTCTCTCTCTTTCTCTCTCTCACCCCCAATCTCTCTCACACCCTGTCTCTTTCACACCCTCAGTCTCTCTCTCTCTCTCTCTCTCCTCTCTTCTCTCCCCTCCTCCTCTCTCTCTCCTCTCTCTCTCTCTCTCTCTCCCTCTCTCTCTCTCTCTCTCTCTCTCTCTCTCTCTCACCCCCAATCTCTTTCACACCCTCAGTCCTCTCACCCTCAGTTTTGCTTGTAACAGATAAGTGAACTATAGATATGTAGATATAAATCCATATGTATTCCTGTTAACCCTTTGGGGCCTAGTTCCTAGGCCTTTGTGTATCCATATGCTCTCGCGCTACCGTCCACAGGATGGATATGGGGTGCACAATAAACTAGCCACTTCGGTGGCAAAATCTAATCTAAAATCTAAATTTCCCCAGTTTCACCCCCGTCTCCCACAAAACCCCCCGCTTTCGTCTGTCTCTCCTCTCTCCTCTCCCTTTTTCAACCCCTCCTCTTCTCTCTCTCTTCTCCTTTTCTCTCAACCTCTCCTTTTCCCCTCAGTCCCCTCTCTCCTTTTCCTCTCTTCTCTCTCTCCTCTCTCTCTCTCACCCTTTTCATCACCAATTTCCCAAGTAACACTTAATTTCCAAAAACAAAGGATGACCGAGGGGGTTAAAGTCAGTCCCCATTAGAAGAGAGAAGAAGAGATCAGAGAGATTGGGAAAGGGAGATAGGTTGGGCTCAAAAGTCAACAAAAGACTATCGCGAGACTATCTACTCCCAAACCTTTTATCAAAAGGAAAAGAAAAGCAGGAAAGCCCTCTCCCCCCCCTGCAAATCGGGGTGCCCCTTTCTTTCATTGGGGAATGGGGCATCTCCGCCGAGCCTTTGGTTTTTTTTAAGATGGGAGGGCCCGTTGAACAGTCTTGGGGCCGTGTTGGTGTGTGGGAAATTTAAAACGGGGAAAAGAGTAATGACACTACGAAAAGGAAAACATTAATTACAGCCAATTTGATTTTGAGATTTTATGAAAGAGGGAACCCGAGAGAGAACTTAAACAAATGCACAACGTAAAATTGGGGGACACCAGAAAACGAACCTCCCCAAGTGCCCCCACTCCTCATACAGAGGTAACCCAAAAAAATATAAAAGGGTTTGGAAGAAAAGCCCTCCTCCAGGGAGGGGACTACCTTCCTTGGAAATAGGTTTTGGGAGACCGCATCCCCAGGGGGGTAAATACCTTCCCCGTGGTGTAGGTTTGGGGAACCCGGGATCCCCCAGGGAAAGGACACCCCCTGTGGGGATAGGGTTGGTAGACAGCATCCATCCCGGGGGGTCGGGCCTTCCTGTGGGATAGGGTTGGGGGAAAACATCAGCCATCCAGGGAGGTACTACCCTTTCCCGTGGGGAGTAGGGTTGGGAACAGCATCCAAACCCGGGGGGTTTCTACCTTCCTGGGAAATAAGGGTTTTAGACACATCCATCCCGGGGGTACTACCTTTCCGTGGTAAATAGGTTGGGTTAAAAAAGCATCCATCCCGGGAGGTAAAACCTTCCTGTGGTATAGTTGGTAGACACCCATCCGGGGGGTACTACCCCTTTCCCGGTTAGTAGGTTTTTGGGAGACGCATCCATCCAGGGGGGACTACCTTTCCGGGGGTAGTAGGTTGGTGACACATCCATCCAGGGGGTACTAAACCCTTTTCCCGTGGGAGTTTGGGGTTTGGGAAAACAATCCTCCAGGGAGGAAAAACCCCTTTCCCGGGTAGTAGGTTTGGAAAACCGGGACCATCCAGGGAGGTACTAAACCTTTCCCCGGGTTAAATAGGGTTTGGGAGACAGCAACCCCCAGGGGGGTACTACCTTCCTGTTTTTAGTTGGTAGACCCGCATCCATCCCGGGAGGTACTACCTTCCTGTGGGAAAAAGGTTGGAGGGAGACATCATCCACCCGGGAGGGACTACCCCCTGGGTAGTTTGGTTTGGGAACCCCCGAAAAACCCTCCAGGGAGGTACTTCCTTCCTGTGGGAGTAGGTTTGGTAGACAGCATCCATCCAGGGGGTGTCTAAAAAATTTTCCGGGTAGTTTGGGTTTTTTAGGGCACATCCATCCGGGGGGGTTCAAACCTTCCCCGTGGTAGTAGGTTGGGAACCCGCCCCCCATCCAGGGGGGTACTACCTTCCTGGGGGTAATTTGGGTTGGGAAACAGCAACCATCCAGGGAGGTTTCTACCTTCCTTATTGTAGGGTTTGGGAGACAGCATCCATCCGGGAGGGACTTAAACCCCCTGTGGAATAGGTTGGTTTCCCGGGGGACCATCCAGGAGGTACACCCCCCTGTGGTAGTAGTTTTTTAACAGGGGGATCCATCCAGGGGGGGTACTAACCTTCCTGTGGTAGTAGGTTTTAAAACATCACCCTCCAGGGAGGGGAATACCTTCCGTGGGATAGGTTTTGGGAAAACGCACCAAATTTTTTTTTGTTTTTTTAGGGACTACCTTCCTTGGGTAGTAGGTTTGGAAACAGCAAACCATCCAGGGAGGTCTAACCCTTCCCCGCGGTAGTAGGTTTGGGAACAGCAAACCAAAAAAGGGAGGTACTACCTTTTCCCCTTTGGGAGTAGGGTTTGGGAGACAGCAACCATCCCAGGGAGGTACCCACCTCCTTTTGGGAGAAAGGGTTTGGGAGACAGCATCCCCAGGGAGGAAATAAACCCCCCCCGGGTAGAAAAGGGGGGTGAAAATCACCACCAGGGGGGTACCCCCTCCTGGGTATAGGGTTTGGGAGAAAAAGGGATCCCCCCAGGGGGGTACCACCTTTTCCGTGTTAAAAAGGTTTGGGAGACACTTTCCCTCCAAGGTACTACCTTTTCCCGTGGTAAATAGGTTGGGGAGACACATCCCCCAGGGGGGGAATACCCCCCGTGGTAGTAGGTTGGGAAAACGCATCCGACCAGGGGAGGTACTACCCTTTCCTGTGGTAGTGGTTTTTTAACATCATCCATCCAGGGGGGTACTACCTTCCTGTGGGTTTGGGTTGGGGCACAGCCAACCCGGGAGGGACTACCTTCCTGGTTTGTAGGTTTTAAACATCAGCCACCCCGGGGGGGTACTACCTTCCTGTGGTAAAAAAGTTGGTAACAGCACCATCCAGGGAGGGGGTACCTTTCTGTGGTAATAAAGGGTTTGGTTTTTAAAACATCCATCCCGGGAGGGATTACCTTTTCCGGTGGTAGTAGGTTTTGGTAACAGCATCCATCCAGGGGGTTAAATACCTTTCCCGGGGGAAATAAAGGGGGGTAAGGGGGGCACCCCAGGAAAGGGACTTTCCTTCCTGGGGTTTGGGGGTTTGGGAACAGCATCCATCCAGGAGGTACTACCCTCCTGTGGAAAAGGGTTTGGGAGAAAAGCAACCATCCAGGGAGGTTTCTACCTTTCCGTGGGAGTAGGGGTTGGGAGACAGCATCCATCCAGGGAGGTTTCTAAACCCTTTCCCGTGGGGAGTTGGGTTTGGGAAACAGAGCCCTTTTCCCCCCGGGGGGGTACTACCCCCGTGGGTTTGGGAGGTGGTAGACACCAACCTCCCGGGAGGGACTTTCCCTCCTGGGGGTAGGAGGGGGTAAAAAACAGCACCATCCAGGGGGGTACACCTTCCTGTTGGGAGAGGAGGTAACACCATCCAGGAGGTAATACCTTTCCGTGGGAGAAGGGGGTAACAGGGATCCATCCCGGGGGTAAAATACCCCCGTGGAGTAGGGTTTGGGAACAGCACCCAAACCAGGGGGGTACTACCCCCCGGGGTAGTAAAGGGGGTAACACAACCACCAGGGGGGGATACCCCCCTGGGTAGTAGGTTTTGGGAACAGCATCCTTTCCCGGGGGGTACTACCTTCCCTGGGGTAGGTTGGGTAGGGCATCGGGCCCTCCAGGGAGTTTCTAAACCCTCCGGGGTAGGAGGTTGGTAACCCCATCCATCCAGGGAGGGACTACCCCCCTGTGGGATAGGGTTTTTGAAGCACTTCCCGGGAGGGACTACCCTCCTGGGTTTGTAGGTTGGTAGACCATCCATCCAGGGAAGGGGAAATTCCCTCCTGTGGTAAATAGGTTTGGGAAACACATCCACCAGGGGGGGAAATACCCTCCTGTGGGATAGGTTTTTAGAAAACACCTCCCGGGGGGGTACTACCTTTTTTTGGAGTAGGGTTGGGAGACATCAGCCATCCAAAGGGGGGTAAATACCCTTCCCGTGGTAGTAGGTTGGGAGACAACACCCCCCTGGGGGGGGACAACCCCCCTGTGGAGTAAAGGGTTTTGGAGACAGCATCCATCCAGGGAGGAATTTCCTCCTGTGGTATAGGGTTTGGGAAACAGCGTCCACCCGGGGGTACTACCTTTCCGTGGTAAAAGGTTGGTAAAAAACATCCATCCAGGAGGTTCACCTTTCCGTTTGGGGTAGGGGTTTGGGAGACAGCATCCATCCAGGGGCCCTACTACCCCCTGGTGGTATAGGGTTTAACAGCACCAACCAGGGG